CAAGAAATATTGTCAACACACCGACACCGCAAGATTTACCTGGTCTAATTTATTTTTCAAAAAAAACGTCATCACCGTTACTTCTACTTTTCAAACACAAGAAACACATCACAAGACATTCCTACCGAAGTCTCCGCATGTAAAATTCCTTGCTGTCGCCTACACTTCATTAGGCGACACTAAGATGAGCCAAAGAAGTTACTGCTGCCAGGTGATACGACAGTGTTTCCGTTAGGTCAGTCTTGCGTCCTCTGAGGTTAGAATACATTCCCACAAAAAGTGAAGTTCACAGTTTGCTTCCTTTGATCTCACGACTTTCTTTGTTTAGTTTTTTTGTTTCAAATCTATTTTCTATTTCATAGAAAAAGGTATGCAGTTAGTCATCGTCGTGACTAACACTGTAGCAGCTAAGTTTATCGTTTGTCTATCAATGTGGTCAACGATGATGTCGACTGGTTGTGCTTCATCTTATAAAGAAGCGGGCTTTCATTCATTGGTTTAACAATAGCTGTGATTGGCATATAAACTCAGGGAGATTGCCATGCTTTGCCATGGTCGTCTCTTGGCGCACTGTCCGCTGTCGCGCTGCTGCTCCATACGCCGAAGCCCAATTCCGCATAGTATCGCAGTTTGCTTTAGACATTTCAACGATGGGAAGTGGCTTTATCAAATGGACTTTAGAAAATGGTATGGTCTCCTTTGGTTTTGGGAACCATACTTCCTACTTGTATGATGAAACGCGGCCCATTGTGTCGCCTTCTTGACCGATTCTTTCATGGTAAATTCAAAGGATCTAGCGTACTCCATCATGGACATATTCACCTGTTTGATATGAACAGTGGAATGGCAATTCTCTACGTCCAGTGTCATACAACTTTTAAGTTGAATGGTTGCAAATTGCTGCACAATCTTCTGCAGCTCCCATTCAAGAGGTGCAACTGAGGCCACGGTCCTGGCGGAAACATGACCCTGAGGTCCATTATAGCGCTTGTAATGCCAGTACTCATTTGGATCTCGCTGGTGTTCCTCTCTACAAGCTCTTTACGCTGGCGCACAAGGGAAAGCACTACATGTCGACATGCATGGCTCATCTTTCACTTAAACTACTTCCAAAGAACATTTCCTGATTCCCTCGCAATTTGACAGGAAAATGCATCCCATATGCAGAAACATGCTGTAGATCTTTTGCCATGAATGCCCATACTTCATGATTTCTTGCATGTTTACCCCTCTCTGCCCAACGCCATCCTTTTCCACTTGAAAAGAGACAATCACTTGGATGTCCTTTCTCGCAGCGTATATCAGTTCATCGTCGGCGCACAGCATACTTTCAAAGGATGGCTGTCTTTCAATTTCATTAGCCTTTATGTTATCTAGAATATCTGTTGATTTGGGGGATGAAGAGTAGATCTTTAGCCTCTCCTTTATTTCTCTAACAGTCCTCACGAATAGCAGGTGGAGTCGATTGGCAAGGTTGATGAAATCGTACTTTTTTTCGGCTGAGAGAAGATGTTGATTGCCCCTTCTGCAAACGGAATTGCTTTGATACGCCCACCGTCAGAAGTTAGGAAGATGATCTCATAAGCACAGTGGATATCTCTTGCTTAGAG